TGAGATAGCAGGTCCTTTTATACATTTTTCAGATACAAAAATTATTATAGTATTACTAACTAATACTATCTAATATATAGGATATAATTAAAATACTATAATATAATTATAAATAAGTTATATTAAAGTATGTTGAAAGATGTCAAAGAATATTGAAGAATGTCAGAGTACATAAAAGGATATTAAAAGATATGAAAAGATGTGAGAAGATATGGAAAGATGTAAAAGGATATGAGAGAATGTTGAAGGATATCAAAAAACATGAAAAGACATTTGAGATTATCATCCAAGTATAATTATTCTACCAAAATTAAAAATAATCTTTCATTATACTATTCTACTATATACATAAATATTGTATTACAAGATAATAAAAATATAGATCCTGAATATTAAATAATATATAATATTAAAAATAGAAATGTGATAATAAATATAGTAATAAATGATATAAAAAATGGAATAATTATAAAATAAATAAAATTATAATAAAATGTAATTTTTTATAATTAAGGAAAGATTAAGAAATTAAGGAATTTTATGTCACTATGATAATAATATAAATTTTTAGTAGAATATTATTTAATTAATTATTATTAATTACTTACTTTATATTATAATATAATTAATAATTAATTACTTATATTTTATTAAATATTAACTTTAAAGAATATTATTTGCAAATATTTATAAAAGATTTTATAAGTATAATAATTATAGCAAAATTATTATAATAAAATTAGCAAAATTATCATAGCAAAACTAATAATATTATTATAATAAAATTAATATTATAATATCAACTAAAATAGTATTTAGATTATAATAAAAGTAATATAAGTATCATAACAAAAATATCATTTATAAAATCTTTAAAATATATTAAAGTAATGTATCTTAACTAGTAAAAAAGAAGAATTTATAAGTTAATGAGTTTTGTAATTTAATAATTAAATTTTAATTTAATAATTCTAGTAGATTTTAGTAAAGAAAATTTTAAGAAATACCTCTTGTAAAATAAATCTTGTAAGGATTTATTATTTTATTTTGTTAATAAATTATTCATTATATTTTTATTAAAATTACTTGAAATTGAATTATATTCTAGCTAGTTATATTATGAATATTATCATTATCTATCTTTAAAATAAATTTTTAATAAATCTTAATAGAAAATATATTCTTATTAATACATTTTAAAGATTTTCTCAATATTATTATTCTTGGCAAAAATATATGTTTTTAATAATTTAAGATAAATACTTATATCTAGAATCAATCTCACATCAAAAAGATAATAATATTAAGTTTCAAAATAATAGTTATAATTATAAAGTTAAAATTATAAGAATAAATTTTAAAGAAAAAAAATAAAAAATCTAATAATTATATTAAAAAAAAGAGAATAAGCTAAAAAAGAAAGAAATCAAGCAGAAGAGAAAGCTGAATTATCTATATTCATAAAAATTAAAATTAATTCAACAAATTAATTCAACAAATTAATTCAACTAATATTATTCTTTCACATCCTGTTCATAATAGAAGGATTTCAAGTTCTTCTGAATCTAATTCACTATAATTACTATTTTCATATATGTACATATAAATTATCAAGTTCAATTCATGCTTTAGTATATCAAAAAAATTAATAATAATAATTATAGTTTTTAGATCATCAATGAGATAAATATGTTTTTTGTTTATAATTGTTGAATTATCTAAAAATAAATATTTGTTTTTCACATGTTATTGTTATTATAAAGTAAAAAAGAGTTAATTGGGATAACCATAAAAAGATTTTGCAAAAAAATTATTTTTTAATTTTTTAATACGTTAGCAAGATGACTGTAACACAAAGAAAAATCTTTTTGAAGATCATAATATATCATTACATCCATTAATAGAAAAAATGTTTCTACACAGGCATACATAAATTTATACATTGCATTGAATATTTTCAGTTATGACGAGAATAAGTATAAAAATATCATCATCAAAGAATCGATTAGATTGCTGTTCAAATTGTCTTTTTAACAGTTGCTGGTCTTGTAACTCACCTTCTTTTCGAGAATAGAATTAATAAATATTAATATCATTATAATAAAAACACGAAAATGAGCCTTTCCCTGGCGGACCGTCTTGTTGAACTAAATGACGCCCGAGAAAAAGGGCTCATAACTACTGAAGAATATAAAACACTGAGAACCCGTATTTTAGAGTCGTTTTCACAAGTATCTTCAACAATTACCACCGTTACTACTGCTGCTAGCATTACCAGCAACAATAATAGTTCCTCTCAAGGCCGTCGGTCTATCCCACCGCCAGTTCCACCTCCGCGTTCTAGTTCTACCATAAATATAATTTCGTCGTCGTCGTCTTCATCGTCAAAAGTGCCACCACCATTACCACCACCCTTTTCAACTTCAAATGTAATAATACCTGTACCTATGGTTCAACGAATTCCACCGTTCGAACATGCATCAACATCTGGTCAAATATTTACACCTCCGAACGCGGCGGCTACCACACCAAATTCACCCCCGCCTTCGCCGCAACCACATTCGAGTGCTGCAGTGCCAACACCATCGAACATTCCACAAAATGGAACTAGAACTTTACCTGACGAATCGTTCTTGCAAAAAAGAAGAAATGTACGTTCATTTACCATTTCTGAGGTTCCCTCTTCAAGTGAACAACAGCGTATTAATATTCAAGGTAATAATACAAATAATTGGATAAATGCTTCGTCGATGAAAGGTCTTTAATAATTCATACTTAAATCTTGTTTCTATAAAGAATTTGAGCAACAATTACCAGAGATGCCACCGCCTCCCTATACACCTCCAGGTAAGCAATCGATCATTTGGAATCGTTTAATATTAATACATCAAATAGTGATGAGAATAATAATAATAATAATAATAATAATAATAATAATTTGTTTTAATTCAATTTTTGATTAGAATCAAGAAGACGTGGATCTTCAAGTTTCTTTAAACCAAAAACTGCGGCGGAACTCCGTCAAGAATTAGACAAACTTAAGGAGTACGCAAAGCGGGAACAGGATTCTTGGAAGATGGAAGAGGCACGATTATCGATGAGGATAGGCACGAAACCCGAGGAACTTGAGCGAATTCGAAAAAAAATGAGAGATTCTGCAGAGAAATATAAGAAAAAGATTGATGTGGCCAATTCGAAATTGAGACAGGCTATTGAACAAGGATTTTAATGAGAAATTCTCTCATGAAGAACATAACTTTTGTTCGAAAAAGGGAGTAATTAAATAATTTAATAGTTATTTTAGATTTTTCAAATTTTTCCAAATATGCAAGCTGGCTTGTGATTCTCGTTTTCTTTTCACTTGTATATAAACAAGGCGATTTTTATACTTTAAGAATAAAATATATTATTCGTTGCAACATGAAATTTACATTTTCTTTCTACATTCTTTACGGTTCGATCAAATTTACTCACGCATGATCTTAGAAAATTGTTAATGTTATTAGTTAATGTTATTAGATTATTCGATCGATTATATTCAACAAGATCCGAAGGTAATTATGAATATTGATTTCTGATTTATTAATAGCCTCCACGAGTTATTAAAAGCACTGCTACTATTATTACTATTACTATTACTATCACCTTTTATCTTAATAAATTCGCTCGCGATGATTAGCAAAAGAGGATTATCTGACAATAAAGTGTAGATGACGCTGGTTGCTTTTTTTTGGTTTTCCAAAGAGCCATAGTGTTAGCTGTCATCCGCTTTTCCTTTTTTTGGATGATTAGTTACGTTCTTGGCTTGATATGAGCGAGCAGATCAAATTCATGATGATTATTTATATTTATATTCTTTAATCCAATCTTTATTAATTTATGAATCATCGTTTAATTTATCAAAAAATAATTTAGCATCGTCACTTCCACTCACGAGCAACTTGGCCGACGGGTGATAGTCTAACGAATTCAGTGGAGCACAATTGGAGTTTTTTGGTAATCTTGGAATCTCATCTCGATCTCTCAAATAACTTGTCTTGGATAAATCCAGTATCGCTATACTTGCGTCTAATTTCATCATATAAAGGTTGTCAAAAATTCTCCTTGTACATGCATTTCTCTTTAAATTCGAATTCTTTACCTTCAGAGCAACTTAATACAGTTTCTGGTCGATTCGGATGAAAAATGATATCCCATACTATGCATAAGAGGCAGAGTAAGGAAACTTTGCAATTCCCATTGATCATGTATAAAATAGTCAAAAGGCTTCAACGTATATACCTGATAATTTGTGTGGCTCGAACTTATTTAATGGTTCCACTAAATTTCGCGAGTCCCATATCGACACGACACCATTAGCGCTTCCAGAAGCAAGTTGCATCTTCTATATGTACATTAAGTAAAAGTGAAATAAATAATAATACTAACATACGTAGATATAATAATATTAACACCTTATTTGGGTTTACAGCTAAACAAGTCAGACGATCCAGCCCCTTGCTACATATCATAAGAATTAATAAATAATAATAATAATCATTAATATCTGTCAAACGCCAAACACCTATAACAGATACGTTAAATACAAACAGAAAGTACCCTTCTGTCTTTGCAACAGCAACAGCCGTCCTTGGATTCCTTCGATCATATTTTTTCAGCCTCCCGCCACTGGTAGCAATGACCTGCAGAATAACCGAGGGAAAGGAAAAATTTTCAACACACAAGCCGGGCGATCAAATCCAGTGTGTTGCCAGTAGTAGTTAAGCCAAACCTACAATTTCATGAGAGGTTGGCCACACTAGCCCGTTTATTATACCGGTATCCGCGTCTAAATGGAAAAAAATGTGATCACTTATTAAAGGATAATAGCATGGATTGTAACATAATTCGACTTACCTATTATCTCAGTCATTGTATCAGTAATCCTAGAAAACACAAGTTTGCCATCTTCGCCCACACTCGCGATTTCCAGATCCTCGTTATTATCAGGCTCAATAGCCAATCCCGTGGCTGAGATGTAATAATTGTCAGCTGTTGTTATTGGCCAATTGTGTAGTGTTTGACTCGAGATTTTTTCGAGTTCGATAATTTTTTCGGTTGACAAGTCAGTGCCGTCACTTGTTTCTTGCTCATTCAGACTTTCTATCTGCTGATTGTTTAACATTTTTATTATTCAAGATCGACTGTGATTTTCTTATTCCTAACAAAAAATATACACTCAACCTCAACAAGTTTATATGCGTCGATAGTACCACGCGAGGAAGCCGTCACCAAATAATTTGTTGATAGAAAACACAAATCGTTAATATCACCAGGTTGCTTCACTTCCCCAACCACTTTTGTATCATACGCATTGAGTATCCTGTGTAATGGCGGTGGTTTTTGTTCCGCTTTCCAAAGAGATATAGCGTTTTCCTAAAATCATTAATTTAAAAATATTGTCGATATATGTACGTGACGAGCATATTTTAAAAAATATATATATATATGTGTGTATGTGTGTGTGTGTGTGTGTGTACTACCTCTTCCTCATCCCAGGTTCCACTTGCAAATAATAGCGTTGTGTCTTCGTATCCAACAGAGGGTGCAAACCTAACTTTTGATACTTTTCCAACAGCACGCTCTGAAGGTAAATTTGACATCATGATAACTTTGTTATTAGAAAACGCGCGAAATTATTTATCATGCGACGATCTCAACGAGAAACATCGTTACACAAATGTAGAAATTATTTCATTATAATTTCGATCAAGTCTGGTTATCAAAAACAATATTAGATCCATGTCATGGTGAAATAAAATCCCTAAATTAAGTCTATGTAATATAAACGAGTCTCAGAAAAAAATGATTAAAACCACAATTTTGACATTACGATACTGATAGAAAAATGACAGTATTACTTTGTAAAAGAAAGAAGAAATGGTATTTGTTGTTGTAAAAGTAGTATCTAGAAAGACATTCGTAAAGTGAAATGGATATTACGACCTCAGAATCTGATGAAGGCTACTCTTCTGATCTACGCACATATTCAAATAGTAATCAAAGGATTAGAAGTTATTTTTGCTAGCTAAATCTGATATATACTGACCTTATTTGGTGATGTTAATTCTTCATCTTTTTCTGAAAGCGTAAGATTTGTATTCTAAAATTTTATCTGTATTAACCTTTTCATTACTTTCAGAACCACGAGCCAATGTTGGAAACTATCTACAATAAATTGATGCTGAATATCAATCATAAGCAACAAACTGCGTTAATAAGGCTCTTACAATTGATACTTGTTTAATCTGGGGTTCTGCCTTTTTTGTTATCTAACCCTAACCAAAACCTTTTAAAAAATCGCATCGAAAACTGTTAACTCCAAATCTAGTCCATAAAGCGCGTTCTTGGCACCGAAAGCGTGGTTTCAAGCCTTCATGCAGACTTAGAATGAAACCCACCGGAGAGCATCCATAACTACTCCAAGCGTGGTTGGGTAGTTTGGTGGTTGTTTTGACAATAAAGTCCAACTTCTTTCCTTATCTCCTTAATTCTTGTCGCTTTGCAACTTTAAAAACAAATATGAATACTAATCTGTAATTCATTCAAGGTGCAACCTCAGACAGTTAGACATTCCATAAGAGTTCGATTAAAAACAAATCACATGATTGTCAAGTTTAGATTTCCTGCATAATGCTAGGTACGATTTTTGATAGACATCTTTTACTTTCAACATGGAAGGCTCCAAAAAAAGTAACTCGCGTGCTAACAAGAACCAAAAAAAAGGCTATGATTCATGTGAGCAAATCAAAAGTGGTTATTCTCTCTTTAACAGCCAAAAAATCTTCAACTATCTTTCAATTTCTTCAACAGCGAGCCTTGCAGGTATACAAGTAGCTCACAAAGTCGAAGACTTTACCGATGGCCAAGAAAGAATCTTAGTACTCAAAGATTCTGGGATTCTTGACAATGAAGGTATGCACTATATGTTCAGCTAGTTATTGTCCTAAATTTTCTCGGTTTGTCAAAATTTTATAAAAAAATATAAATTTTTTCCCGACGACAGCAGGAGACATGACATTGATACAATTTTATAATAAAATAATAAATAGAAGAGGGCGATCAACTCATTAGTATACAATTGGAAGAAGAGGCGCGACTTCGTAAAAACTTGGAGAATAAGAAAAAGAAACCAGCCTATGTTGCATACGACGACGAAGAATTTCTATTTGGCGTTAATGATAGCCAAAAATCTGGTGCAGGCATATTGCCGCACTATGATGAGGAAATTGAGGGTCCTAAAAAAAGCGTAATTTTCGCTTTTTCTTATAGATTTATTGTTTGTTTTATTTTTCATCACAAAAATCCCAATCGTATCTTTTTTATTGAAATAAATTTAGAGTTTTACAATCAGTGGTGATGGCACTGTACAACTCAATGAGGAAGAGAGAAGACAACAGGTTTCAGAGAATTTGAAATCTCAGCCTATATCTTTGTCTTTTGACAGTAAGTAAAAAAAAAAATACTGTAAATTTTCCATCATCCCCATTTGCATATTTATTGATGCTATCTGCTCTACAGAAATGCGAGAAATCAAAGATTATTATACCAAAGAAGAGGCCGATATAACATTTAAAAAATCAAAGGTAATAAAAAAATACACAAGGAATTTTGAAAATTTCTTTAAATTATTGATGTTTACTTTTTTTCTAAACAACAATAGAGCAAGAAGAAGCGTAGAGTTAGAAAGAAAGCGGCAGAAGAAGAAGACGAAGAAACAGCTTCTCAAAATCTCAGTGAACAGCAACAAATGGATGTTGATACCAATTCAAATGGTGCCTCCTCCACCACCACACCAAGTATACCACCAATTAGACGGCAGCTCAATCTCGATGAAGATGTAAGCTACGTCGATGATGATGATCTTCAACAGGCTTTAGCGAGAGCTAGAAGAATGGCAAATAAAAAAGTTATAAAAACAAGCGTCGAAGATATTGCCCGAAATTGTGGGTACATTCATTTTTATAATCTCTCCTACTTTCTATAAAATTATTAACGCCAATTAATATTTATTAGTGACTCAAAATCGCGAACAAAAAAATGACGAAGGTGAAACTGTGCGTGGCGAGCTTGTGATTTCCGATACAACAGAATTTGTCAATTCCTTGACGTTAGCACCACTAATCAATAAACGCACAGAAATAATTGCAAAAACTAGCAGCAGCGTATCCGCAGTCACACCTCCACCCGAAATTATTGAAAAGCAACCAGAAAAGAGAGACCTGGACGAAGAGGAGGATGTGGAGAATTTACCCGATGAAATTGCAGAAGAAGGGAAAAAGGGAGGCTGGAAGGCAGCTGGTGTAGTGGAAAACCAAGATATGGCGCAAATCCAGGAAGAAGCAAAATTGGTTAGTGATTCTCTATATCATATATGCACACATAAAATATCTCTCTCTCTTTTGACCTTTGGAATGTTCTAATGACTATCTCTATAAAAATATAGACAAGTGTAGTCGAGGAAGAGCCTTTAGTCAGCAGTGGTATGGCAGCTACTTTAGCACTTTTGCAACAGAAAGGTATTTGTAAAAAAATTCTTTGCGTCTAATAATTTTCATAAGTGACTTACACGTAAATACAAATTTATTTAGGATTTTCGATTAAACCATCCGACGAACAACTAGAAAAAGAGCGTATTCAAAGAGATCGACAAAAGTGGCTTGGAGAGCAACGAAAGAAAGATATCGAGAGACAAAATGAACGTGAACGCGAGAAACAAAGAGCCAAAGAGAAAGGCTATCGTGGAGGTGGTCGAGATAATGAAAGCACTTATCGAGATAGAGAACATATGAGAGAGATGGAAGCTCGGTTCAAAGATTATAAACCTGATGTGAATCTTGAATATGTAGATGAGTTTGGCAACCAATTGACACCCAAAGAGGTAAAAAAGACTGTCTTTCATATCGAAACTTTGTTAAAATATAGTTAAATATACTAAATCTATCTTTGGAAATTAAAGGCCTTTCGACAATTATCTCATAAATTTCACGGTAAATCATCAGGAAAAGCAAAGACAGAAAAACGACTTAAGAAATTAGAGGAAGAGCGTAAATTGAAAGCTATGAGCAGCATTGATACTCCATTGAACATGGCAACAGCGTTACAAGAGAGACAAAAAGCCAGTGGAAGTGCTCATGTGGTATTATCAGTTGGCAATCGAGCGTATGTATCCATGTTATGTGCCGCATATTTAGATTTTCGTAATAATGCAATCTTGAATCAACAGTGTTGTTCCACCGAGTATGGTGTTGAGCGGCGGTAAATCCAACGCGGCGGGATCTTCTCGGGCCACTAATAGTCCAAGTATTATCACAGTCAATGGAGGATTAACTGGCCAGAGTATGAATGCGCCAGAAAGAGAAAAGGTAGTGATATTTATATGCATTTTTGTTATTAATTTTAGTAATAAAGACGACTATTTAATTATTTAATCCTTAGGTCACGTTTGGACTGAAACGTAAAGCAGAATCTGATCCAGAAAAACCCTCCAAAAAACGATAAAGTTGAATTTCCGTTTTTATATATATCTATAAAATAGATTCTCTAGATAATTTATCGGGTGAGTTTTACTTCAATAAAAATGTATTTTCATAGTCAGAGTCTTAATAATGCAATTATTGTTGATTTTTTGCTTAATCGAGGCAATAACAAACATGTTTTTCTCTTTTAGATGATCAATTAAATAGTTAGTGCTGTTGTGCACTTTTATTCTCTCACACTACTTTAATAATGCTTATTTCCTGTTTTTTAAGAATTAGACATATTTCCTAATACGCATTGATAATAAAATTTACAGAGTTAAGTATTTTATTTGACAGAAAAAGTTAATGCAATTTAATTCGATTAATAAACAATAGTCTTATACTTCTAGTTTATACCTTATTTTATGCATTCTAAAGGCAAGTATTTGTTGAAGTTAATTAATTATTCTATTTACATCATAAGACGCGCGCGTTATCAATGATGATGATGATGATGATCAAAGTATAATGATAGTTGTCGTCAAGCTAAATAATAATAATATGAATGAACTAATCACCATATTCTTGTTATAAAAAGAATCAATTTTGCTAGAAGCTACCGCATTATTAGTATTTGATGGTATAGAGGTATGTGTCAGTGACGCTGCTGCTGCTGTTGTTGTTGCAAAAGTCATAGTTGATGACGAGTATATAGTTTTCGATGACATGGCAGAACTTGTAGTAGACCGCACTGATTTAACATCATTATCATGAGGTAAATGTGTACCTTGACCAATGATACCTCCTGAAATTGGTTTCATGATTGGGTGAACTGTTGGCCTTGGTTTTTTCGTTTCTTCTGGGGGAGGTTCCGTCGACGAAGGTAACAGATTTCTTGTCAACTCATCAATGTTGGGTATTTTTGGTTGTTTGAGTGCCGTCACCGTTATCAGCAAAAAAGTAATGAACATAGGGAGGATTGTTGATTTTATTAGCGTAAAATGAGATTTCATCTTGATATTATTCACTTGAAGAGCTGTGCGTAAAGAATACTTGCCCTATAAATAGTGTATTAATTTGAATCATGTTGACTGATCGAAGAATATAATTTTTTATCAATCATCACCATCCTCATATTCCAAATAGCAACTGACTTGGGAAAATCAAAGATGTATCTTTTCGTCTAGTATCAGTGCAATATAAAGGGATATATAGTGATGAGATTTCTATCATTTTAGTCTGCAGTCAAACGAAGCACTAATTAAATCCACATTGATAAACCGATCTTTTTATTAAGTCAATATCTACTCATTATCGAAAAGGATTTTATTACATAGAATTCGTAATCACGATAAACGGATCACTTATTACAAATTTTTCAGTTTTATATTATATACAGTTTGAATGTCATTCTTTTTAATGATATTTAGCTAATTACATTCCAGTAGCTCGATCTTTGATAATTTAATAGCATGTTTTTTCCTATATAAAATATTTGATGCACCCTTGTTGGCGATATAGAAATAGATTTGCGATTCAGGGGAATCTACTTAAGAATGTAAAGTATTATAAAGAATTGCAATCTTAATCCCAATGAAAATAAAAAGATCCTAACTTTGCGCAAATTAATCGAGATATTGATATTTGAATTTTAGTAATAAAACCCTTTGATAGTTCCGCTGACATGAACCTCTTCTAGTTGTATAATCTGAACATCTGATTGTCCTTTACCCTTGCCATTAACTCCAAGCAGCGCAGATTCTAACATTTGATTTGCTTCAGCCGATTTGACTCCATCGTTGATAGTTCCAACAGTAATGTGGGGGATCTTGTTAATGCTCATTATCTCGGGCGGATCGATTTCTCGTACCACCAGCGCCATTATTTGCGAATTGTAAACAATCTTGTCGATATACAATTTGACTTTGTATCCTTTATGGTCGTTATCGACAATGTTTTCGTATTTTTCCCATAATTCTTGAAGTTCTCGCGATCTACTTTTATGGAGTTCCGCGGCATGAATTAAAGTGACATGGTGTTTAGGACGGATTCGATGATTCCTTACGAGAGTTTCGAAAAGAGTGTTATCAGGTTCTAGAACATCTTTCAGATAGTCCTGAACATCCAGTTCTACTGCGATTCCATAATAAAGTGGTGGGTTTCGCTTACGCGTAACTGAACTATCTTCTGCAAATCTTTGGGAGTTCAATTTGGCTTTCTTTTTCCCTTTTCCCTGTGTAACAATTTTCTTGACAGTTGGTCGATATTCTCGTGCGTAATTTATCGCCTCCTCAACATCTTGTTCATTTGGAATTTCAATTCCAAGGATAGATGACAATTCGTTGAAAATGATCTCGAGAGTTGTGTGAATATCATTCAGCGGATCTAAATCGATAACCTGATCAAACAGATGATCTACACCATTGTTTGAGTCCAGCGGCTCAAATTGTTTAAGGAACGACCAGATGATACTCTCGAAATCCGAATTTTCTGGCGTCAACGATTGATGTGCTTCTCCGCGAGACATTACACGTTTGGAAGTGGCCTCGAAAATTTCTTTTTCACTGTGTTCACTGCGATTCCAATAAAGTGCAACCACTCGAACATTTGGAAATACGGCTTTCATTGTTTCAATCAGTGTCTGTCGCAGTTCAGTATTGTGATTATTCCTATATTAGTCATCGTAATAACATTAGCAAAGTGTTTACAAATATTATCATCAAAATGAAAACACGAAATCATATTAACCTGTCAGCAATGACTACGTCATGAGATTCAAATTCACGCTTAATTGCATCATGAAACCTATTTCGAATATTCTTTCCGCCAATATCATCATTTTGAACATGACCAAAGTTAAAAAGCTTTGACAATATTAGAGCAACAGTAGTTTTTCCTAAGATTATACGAAATAGCAATGTTATGAATGTTAATCCTATAGAAAAGTAATGCTCAATTTTTTTATTTAGACATACCACAACCAATAGTTGCAACTGGCACAAGGAGAGTCTTCTTAAACATCTTACGTTCCTCTTTTGGAATCTTTAGAGTTTTTACAGAGTCACAAGATTTCCATTCTTCCAAAAACATATCCCTAACTTTAATTATACCATGTCCTTTACTATAATCCTTGAACAATCCGGGATCTGTCTTTAATTTCTCTTTCACCCACTCAATATAGTATCGACTAAGCGTGTAAGTAGGGTGAGGGCTTTTCCTCGACTTTGAGAGAATAACTTTGGTGAGTTCACGCCATTCTCGGTACATCAGATACGGTTCGTCGTATTTGACTTTGAAAAAGTAGTCTTGGCCTTCTCGTTTACATCGAACAACGAAACCCTCGACGGGTCGGCCATCTAATATACGTTGTTCTTTGACATAGTCGGTGAATTTTTTCACTTCTTCTGCTGTCTCTTTTATGTAGTAATTTGTCGGGATAAATCCCCAGTACTTTGCAAAGGCAGTCACTTTATCACTAGACCAAGTTTGTAAGTCTACCGTGTTATAATTGACCCCATGAAGATATAAACCACTCTTGTCGGCGGGATATGGAAGTACGTGTTCCTCAAAGCTATCATCACAAAGCTATATTATCAAATAGGTGAACAATGAATCAATATCCGTTTTGACAATAGTGCGAGAAATTCATTCAAAATACCTCTCCTATTGCTGTTAATTTATGCTCATATAGATAATTTGCTAAATCCTCTTTGGTTTTACCAGCATCTGCCAAGTGTCTCTCAACCCATTCTTCACCTTTTTGTGCATGTGAAACAGGCACGTCGTCTCTAGCACCAATAGAATGCTTGCTAGTCACAATAAGTTCTCCGTTTGGAAGACCACCAATAAATATAATACATCCATTTTCTTTAACTGTAACTGCATATGGACCTTCTGTACTTTGATAAAGATCTTCCCACTGAAATTCCCCAAAATCAGCAATGATGGTAAATAAAAATTCAAAAATGAAAAATTAATTTCAAGTTTATGTAAAAATCAATACCTTTGTCGCCGCAACTTCGCCAATGTTAAAGAATTTGTTATACCCTCGAATAACAATTTCGTATTGATCATTATTTTTTCTAGTATATAAGCCTCTCGCCATTGTAGGCACAAGTCCCTTCTTATAATCCCAATCATTCATTTTCCAAGAAGATATTACAGTCCCGGAAATAGGACTCGCGTAATCAGTTCTCTTTGCTGGTTTTCCTCGTCCCTTGAACTTGTTTCGAGTTATTTTTTTCTCTAATAATGCATGAAGATTCTCGACGAGCTCATGTGCCTTCTGCCTTTCTTGAGGGCCTGGTGTGAAGGTTGGAAATTCGTCGTAGTCTGACATTTTATTTTATTTGAATGTTTCCTTACGAAGACGGCTACTTTCGAAGCGTATATGTATATGGTTTAAATAGAAAGAGCTGCTGAAGAATTTAATTTCTTCCTTGCATAGACAACTATCACTAAAGTGTAGAAGTTCAACACGCGTTGAAATTACATATTTTATATTTTCAATATTAATATGCGCAGTTGCTATAAATACTGCGTTTTATCAGATTTCACATTAACGTTAAGTATGATTCACACTGATATTGCGTCAGAAAGAAAATGTGTTAGATCATGTGATTTTCGAAGTCATACTTTTATCTGACACTGTATATCTTTAGCGGTCAATCAAACTTGTATAGTTTGAGTTAGTTTCCAATCATTAGTGAGATTTTATATGATTAAAAATCACATGATAAACATCACGTGGACCTAAGTTTCGGGGATCACTTTACGTTAAAAAAATAATTATTTAATTGTTATCTTTTTCATATTTAATACTTTTAGCATTGTATAATAGAAAATACTCAAGCAAGCTTATAATAAAGCTTATGGATTTGATACATTGATAAGTAACTTAATCTATTAAGATTATCGTTTTTGTTTCTTGCGAGGGGGTTTCCCTTTCCCTTTCTTGCTTTTACTATTAATCCGATCCATTGCTCTTACTTCTTTTTTCATCCGAGCATCAACCATCTTTTAAAATAGAACAATATAATAAATTTAGAAAAAAAGATTGATTTTTTATGATATCAATAATAACTAACAATCCATTATATAAATACCTTGTATCTTCCTTTGACTCCCTTGGGTCTGCCCTTTGTACCTTTAATAGCACCTTTGGCAACCACGACCTTTACTTCTTTCTTTTGCTTTTGTGCTTTACTCAAAATTTTGGTGATCGTTTGGGATTTCTCTCGTTCAGTCATGTCAGATTTTTCTGCAATTGCATCGGTTTTTTTTTGTAGTTTTGCTAGCCGATTAAGAGCCTGTCAGAAGGAAAAAAGAAATTAATAAATGATTTTTTGATAAAATTGATAAAATTCGTGTTATTGATAAAATAGAAAGTTATTATAATTCACCCTCATCTTCTTTTTCGCTTTAGCCTCTGCTATTTTTTTGATAGGACGTGCGTTCAACGCTTTCATTCGTTCACGTATCAATTCAACGGCCTCTTTAGTGATCGGTAAATTTGGTTGATTATGACGTTTCTCATCATCCAAAAACCATTCCGGTAATCCTTCTTTATCGTAGAAAGCATAACGCGTAAACCCTGCATCAATAAGTTCTTGTTTTGTTTTTTGGCGATTTACCAGTTGTTTTGCGAGTGTTATTGCTTCAGGTGTAAGAAGACCAATTTTTTGAACCTGTTTCATTTTCTTTTCGTCTTCGTCAGATTCATTTACATCCCATATTTTTTCGTCTTCGTCCTGATCTTTTGTCATATTTATTACAATGTCGTCGTTTTCATCCTCTTTATTATCATCTTTTTCCATCTAATATATACAAATGTTATGAATATTTGATATAAAATTATAAAATTGCATCTTTTTATATATATATATATATATATATATTATCTAAATATACCTCATCAGCTTTCCTCTTTTTCGAGTTTCCATTACCATTAATGGCGGGTTGCTTTACCTCTCTTTTATCTTCTGAAACAATTTTCTCCTCCTTTTTAACATTATTTTTTGATAACTCGTAATTTTTCTCCTCTTCATTTATTACACCCTTAAATAACGGCTGATCAAAAAACAACGCAGCTTTCTTGCTCAACTGACCACAACTCTTCAAACTTAACTCTTTTTCGTCGTCGTCCTCTTTATCACTTTCAAGTTCAGTTATTAATTTTTTGATCTTTCTTTTACTCTTGGCATTTTTTTTGGCAACTAAATTATTATCTCGGTCAGATTCTGAATCAGTATTGCTACTATCGCTGCTATCCGAAGTAGTAGTTTCAGAGTCGTCAAATCTATCACGTCTTGGCAAAGAAGTAACTGAAGAATCACTATCAGAATATTGATTTAACTCTTTGTCATCGTCATCAAAATTCTTTTGATTTTCATCACAATCGTTGGATTCTCGTCGCATCTTTTTCGCTCTATATTTCGCATCACGTTCTGCTTTCCTTTCCTTATAATCTTCGTACCTATTTACATCATATGTTAATATAGAGGGAGTTAGTTTGTATTTATTAATTTTATAATAAAGAAAAATAAATTAAAACTATTTACATTTCATCTAATTGCGCTTCTAAATCATCGCTATTCTCCTCCTCCAAACTACTATCATCTTCAGTTTCATCCTCTTCATCATCACTTTCATGTTTGAGATTACTACCTTTTTTGGTTCGATCATCATCTATTACGATATCACCGTCATCTTGTTTTTCTTCGTCATTATCCAATGTTATATCCATATCTCCTTTTCTGACTTTTTCTATTGCCTAATATATCATAATTAGCAATGAGTAGCATTAGATCGAGCTTAAAATGATGACATCAGAAAAAAGATATTTCATATACCCCTGCTTTATCCACTTGTCGAAGGTCAAACAAAAGATCACCACTATCAGGTCCAACTTGATCAAGTGCAATATCAGTTGGATTGATCATCTTTAGTTGCATTCTCGTTATATTTTTTTGTTTTTTTTCATTAGCTTTGCGTCGTAGTCGTTTTCTGCGTAGTCGATCTTCTTTGGTGAGTGTATCAAGCTGTTCTCAAATTAATTTCTCATGTTATTTATGACCAAAATAGCTCATCAAAGCAGAAAAAAATGTGTTCGGATATGAACCTCTTCTTGAATTGCTTGATCTTCATCGACTGGTTCTTGGATTTCTTTTACTTCAACTTTTTCTTTTTTAGGCGCGTCTTTGTTAAGCTTTAAATAAAAAATAAATATCAAAATATATATGGTATATCGAAATTAAAAGTTGTAACAATAATGAAGACTCACAAATACTCGAATTGTGCTACGCCATTTTAATAAATTCTTGAATTCACGTTTTCCTAAAACTTTTAAATCCTCGCAGCTAATTTTGATTTCATCCTTGGTTGATTCATGATTTAACAGCCTATAAAAAAATTACGAACGATAAATAGATATATATATAAAGAATTCTTTAATAAAACAATCCTTTATAAATATTTAGATTAATACCAACATTTTAGCTTCGTCACTATCGAATTCCAATGTATTAGCATCGCCAAGAATACGAACAGGATCATCAGAATTCACAAACTCCATAATCGACACTTTTTTATATAGCGTATAGTTTCCGTCCTCGTAGCCATCACGATGCCGTTTTTTCTTGTCGGGATGTAAAACATCAACAGATTTATTAGGTGGTCCAATTTCCAAGTCTTTGAACACAGAACGTGGGTCAAGAAATTTTGGGTCAATTTTTTTCGGGGCAAGAAAGTCTTTGCAGATTACGTATATTTCCGCGGACACATTTCTAAATTATCAATCCGGGTAAAGAAATTAGTTGTATTTTATGTATAATCTAAATAAATACTAAAGGTTTGAGTACCTTGAAGAAGCGGGTTTCGTCGCCTCAACCTTTTTGAATAGTTGATTAAAAACCCATATTAGGTTATTATAATCTTTGGATCTAAAGACTTTGGTCACAAAAGTACCTAATATATATGGTATATAATAAACTTAGCCGTTCTTAAAAATACTATACTACAACATAATAATGCTTGCCTCCCGGGGCTAAAAACTCAACGACCAATTTCAGTGCCATTAACGTCAACTCTGATTGCGAAAAAGCATCTTGTACCCATGACACACCAACATTCGGAGCACCATCATGCAGCACACTAAATAAACACCTCGGTAATTAGCAAAATATAACCACATTATAATACTTGCTAATATGTTCACTTACGTATCAGCTTTCCAAGATTTTAGTACGTGTCGTAAAGAATCAACACATTTCTCTGTAGTTATATCATTTTGTAATGTTATTACTTTTGGAATCGGTTTTATGGGAACAAGATCGATACCTATATTGTTAATTGATTGATTTATTCAGTGATTTTGAAAATTATACTGATAGGAAATTTATGCATATATAAATGATAAACGAACCAACTATCAAACTGGATACGGGCATGTATTTGCTTGCAACTTGTAGCCTGAAATTGAAAGAAATGATGTTGAAATGAGAATGCAATTTGCTGATTTAACGAATATTTTAACGCACCAACCACCAGGCGCAGCACATAAATCAATTAGCACACGAGATCGTTCCAAGAAATTATATTTTTTGTTTAGTTGGATTAATTTGAAAGCAGATCGGGCACGGTATCCTTGTTCTTTGGCCAAATGATAATATTTATCGAGGCGACCTGAGCTTTTTTCAATAGCATTGATTTAGCATTTCTTTTTTCATAATACAAGATTTTTTCCTTAATCACTTGCCTTTCCCTGTTTTCTTGTCTTTTTTGCCCATTTTGTGAATGAAATTTAACGAGAACGCTACTAAAAATTTGGTTCGATTTTAATATCGCGAAAACAGAATCTGTGCTCGGTTCCTGATCACATGATAACAAACCAATAATAATGCGCAAAAAAGCATGTGAGCACAGATTCTATTTCTCGAATGACTCTATGGTCTAAGGAATATTTGCCGGTTTTCTATATATTACCCAAAGATCGTAGAATCTCAATCCACAACGCGTTCTTGACCTTACTCGTTAATTTTCATTCTTAAAAAATGGTAAGAAATTCTTGCATGCCAAATTATTTTTTTTATGATGTTAGTTGCTCAAAGTTCAGACGCGTATTTGATTTTAAAAACGCGTCTTTTTTTGTTTCAACCTTTTCAATGCTCTATCTCGTATTTTTATTTATCGTAAACAATTTAATAGTCTTCTAACCGCAAAAGAAGAAGAGATGCAACTCCCACTACCCCCACTACTCCCACTGCTTCAAGGAGCAGTGGTTTGATTTCACTTCCGCAGGGCACTATGTTTGATTCGCCTAGGATCGAATCTGATGATGATATTCAAGAAGAGGACCTTATACAAAATGATGAATTATCTTTAGGTTCTGATGAAGAGGAAGGCGATGATTTGATAGGGGAAGGCATGGAAAAGTAATAATAACTTTATTGATTACGGATTCTTTATGCCTTGTTAATCTAAATCGGCAATTTTTTTTTGATCTCGAAGTGATTATCAAGCAAATCCACGACTTGATCATTACGATGCAGGAAGTGCAGATGAGGATGAAGTTGATGAAATGGATATAGAAACTCGTCGCCGTGTTGACGCTGAATTGAACCAACGTGATATCGAAAGGGCAAGACTAGCTGGACGAATGCCTTTTGGTATCAAATTTAAAAACTTTTTATGCAAATTAATTCATTCTATATTCAAATTAATGTTATTCAATACATTGTAGTTCTTGACGATGGTATGACTGGAATGGATTTTCTTTCACGCAAAAATATAGATCAGGAAGACGATGATGATGAAGAAACGTCAGAAGATGATGAAATGGTGTTAATTATTATCAATAAGTAAAGCTTTGTTTCAATTATAACTTTTTTTTTACGAAATTTTTTCGCGTAGGAAATTTCCGAGCAAGATTTAGCGCACCCAAAGACATCCACAATCATTGAATGGCTCTTATTGCCGAATATCCGCAAAACGGTTGAACGCATCTTTCGGAGATTCTTGTACAAGTTTAGTAAGGGTGGTTCAGCATCATATTATGGTGACCGTATTTATGAGATGGCTATAGGTAATAGCTTTCTTTAAAGAAATCGGCTATTCTTTTTTTTATGGTTTGGATGTACTAAACCAATTTTTTATTGTTTAAAAATATAGCCAATAATCAAACGCTTGAAATTAGTTATATTCATCTCTCTGAATTCACCGGAATATTGGCACTATATCTTATCAATTGCCCTTCAGAGATGCTAAAAATATTCGAAGACATTGCTTATAAAGTTACTTTGCGAAAATTCGAAGCATTTAGCTCGATCCATGAAGAAGTACATGTTCGAATCACTGAACTGCCAACCTTTGGTACTCTCCGAGATTTACGGTATTGTTTTTATTTTTTTTTTTAATTTGCGTGATCTGTCTTTTAGATTTTAATAAGATACTTCTTACAAAAAATCAGACAAGAAAATCTTAATACATTAGTGCGCGTTTCTGGTGTCGTAACTCGTCGAACTGGAGTGTTTCCACAATTGAAATGTGTTCGTTTCAACTGTTCTAAATGCGGAAATATCTTGGGCCCATTTACTCAAGATGCCCAAAGTGAAGTAAAAGTTAACTTTTGCAGCAGCTGTCAATCAAAAGGTCCTTTTACTTTAAACTCTGAACAGGTAGACTATCTATCAGATAGATATAGGTTTTTTTATATTCTTAATTTTTAGGTTTAACTTATTTTTAATGAATTATTAGACTATATATCGGAACTATCAAAGAATTACTCTCCAAGAAAGCCCGGGAACAGTACCTGCAGGACGTTTGCCGCGACATCGAGAAGTTATTTTGTTGTGGGATTTGATTGACACCGTTAAACCGGGGGAAGAAATAGTATAATATTAAATTTACTTAATTATTTATATTTTTTTACATAGCAACAAAAATTCAAATTCAAAACGTTCTTTTATTGCTAATTAGGAAGTTACTGGTATTTACCGAAATAATTATGACGCTTCCTTAAACACAAAGTCTGGTTTTCCGGTATTCGCAACTGTAATTGAGGCCAATTATATAAGTAAGAAGGAAGACTTATACTCTGGTTTCCGCCTTACTGAAGATGATAAAAAAACAATCCAGGAACTTGCTCATGACAAAAATATTGCAAAACGGGTATTTCTAACTCCTACCTCTGTTTTAATTGATAAATTGAACTTAATATTAAATTATGTTATTAAATAGTTAGTAATATTACTATTATTATAATAGATTATAAAAAGCATTGCTCCCTCAATTTTCGGCCATGACGACATTAAAACGGCAATCGCGCTCTCATTATTTGGAGGGGTGCCTAAAAATGTTGCTGGGAAGCATAGAATACGCGGTGATATTAATATTCTCATGCTTGGAGACCCAGGCACTGCTAAATCCCAATTCTTAAAATACGTAGAGAAAACTGCACATCGTGCTGTCTTCACTACAGGTCAAGGTGCATCAGCGGTAGGATTAACTGCGTCTGTAAGAAAAGATACAGTTACCCGAGAATGGACTTTGGAAGGTGGTGCTTTAGTGCTTGCTGACAAGGGTGTATGTTTAATTGACGAATTTGATAAAATGAATGATTCTGACAGGTATATAAATTGATAAGTTGATATTATGAATTTGAATGATTTTAAATTTCAACTTTATTGTATTTTATATTTGTATAAAGAACAAGTATTCATGAGGCAATGGAGCAGCAGAGTATATCTATCTCTAAGGCGGGAATTGTCACTACACTTCAAGCTCGATGCGCAGTAATAGCAGCCGCCAACCCTATTAGAGGTCGATATAATTCATCGGTGCCTTTTTCCCAAAATGTTGACTTGACCGAGCCAATATTATCACGTTTCGATGTACTCTGCGTTGTCAAAGACATAGTTGATCCGATAAGTGACGAGAACCTCGCAGACTTTGTAGTGAAAAGTCATATAAGAAGTCATCCAGCATTTGTCACTTCTAATGAAGATAATTTTGTAAACAGCATTAATGAAGATTATTCTTCTGACCCGAATATTCAAGTAATCAGTCAAATTTGCTTCTTTTTTAACAAGTTTTTATTTCATATTAAATTTTTTTTTTTACTTTCATTTACAGCTTATCGATCAAGATATTTTGCGCAAATACATCGTGTATGCGAAGCAAAAGGACCCAAGATTGCATCAACTTGACTATGATAAACTTTCGCAATTATATTCGGACTTGCGTCACGAGGTAATGTTTTGGACGATTATGTTTAATTGATACTCGGATAAAAATTTCACGTCTTGAGAAATTTTAGGCTGGTGATAGCATTCCAATTACCGTTCGTCATCTAGAATCTATGCTTCGATTGGCGGAAGCACATGCCAGGTATTTATCCAATATTTTAAAAAGAAGTATTCAATGAAACCTAAAAACTTCCTCTTTTGATTAGAATGCACCTTCGTGACAGCACAGACTCATCTGACGTTGACGTAGCAGTTGACGTCGTTCTGAAAAGCTTTTTTGCTTCTCAAAAATATTCAATTAGAAATAGACTTCAAAGGGTTTGTTTTAAGATGATAAAAGATCCCACGTCATTCATTTAATAATGATTTTTCTAATGTTGAATTCTTTTTATGAAATCTCTAGACCTTTGCTAAATACATGCGCAGGGCTCTTGAACCCAACGAATTACTGTTTAGTATATTGAATACTATGTTGAAAGAAAAGATGCAAAATTCTGCTAATATCCAAACCAGGATTGAGATTCCGGTTGCTGATTTACAAAAAAAGGTAAGATATCATTTGCAAAATTGATTGTTAAGTATTTTAATTAATTATATTTATAACTCGGTTATTTTAGGCAAGGAATTTAGATATAGCTCAGGTGGAAACGTTTTTACAAAGTAAAAATTTCAAACGTTTCTATAACTTGGAAACATTGTTGAATGAGAAAGTCATTGTCAAGATAATCGGTTCGGATTCAGTATAATATAAATGATATAATATGTATAATATAATGAATGTAATTAATGTCAATCATCTGACTAAGAAACTTGTGATCATTTTATAAGACCCAAATATTGAAATTTATTTGAATTGACGCGTCCTTTCAAAAAAAAATGGCAAGTCATTTCTTTAATTATCGAAATTATCAAAACGCACGAGACAATTCATTCTAAGACTGTTCATAGGAAATAAATTTCTAGTAAAATATTTGCTTAAAAGAGACACGTTGCGTTTTGTTATACGATTATTATTAGGAAGGAGTAAAATACTTTTGCACGTCTTCGGAAGAAAATGGTATGTAATAATGTCTTTTCACCTTACAGACGATTGTTTATTTTTGGTCAAATTCTAAATAATACAACTTGTTATAGCTCATTCCTATGAAATCACTGCTGTAAGATGGGCTCCGTTGGGCAACATTGTAGTGTCTGGTTCTCTTGATTCTTCTGTGAAAATATGGTAGGCCTTATAATTTTTCGTAAAAAACCCAAAAGATACATGTAATATATTTTTTTAAAGGGATGGAATATCAGGTGAATTACTCCGTGAAATTCCAAAAGCACATGGGTTAGGGATCGCATGCGTTGATGTACATCCTGAAGGAGCAGGTAAAAATTGAACAGATTATCATTTTTGTTTTATTTCCCATTTCACTGCGTTGCTATTAATTTTCTATAATTTTTTTTAAAGAAATTGCGACCACATCCATTGAAACTGAGATTAAAATATGGGATGCCAATCAGGCTAGGGAATTGGAGCAGATTGAGGCTAGATCCTGTAAAAAAATTTATGGTTAACATGTAGTTTAAAGTAATTGTTTGTTGATCATTTTTTTATACTCCGTTAATACTATAAAGTGCAAGCGTGGCACGGTCAATTCTCACCGGACGGCAATTACTATGCAGCTGGAACTGCTGATGGAAAAATTAATTTTTGGCCAACTGCAAAAGCATATCGTGAACCCATACAGTATGATACGGGTCACTCAAAATTTGTTCATTGTGTTCGATTCGTATCCCTTTTTTTTTGACAATTATGGATATTGAGCATTCTGAGATCTATAAATGATCAATTAAAAGAGAATTTATTTAGTATTTTTGAATTGACTGTGCTTTATTATAGAGCCCCGATAAAAAATTCGTTGCCGTTGGAACGGAATCTGGTGGGATTTACATACTCGATTATACAACAGGAAAACTATTGTATGCACTTTCAGGTACGTTTATAATAATGATAATAATAATGATATTATTATTATTTATTAAATAATAACATATCACAATATTTGTTATATATTTTGTAGGACACAGCAAATTAGTTCGATCTATTGATTTCTCGAAGGATTCTTCGTTGTTGATATCCGGATCTGACGATCGAATGATAAATATTTATGACATGTATGCAAGATTAATTAGAAGCATTTCCATATTGATTGATCGACTTTTTGTTGTTCGTTAAATGAACAGAAAGCATGGTAATCGGATAACAAATATGCCCTCACAAGACGGCTGGGTTCTTTCTGTAGCCGCGTCTAGCAGTAATGCTGCGCATTTTGCCTCCGGGTATGATTTTGAATTTTTTAATTTTTCATATGATCAATAATCCAATACAAATAAGCAAAATTTATTTTAATAGAACAACGGAGGGAACTATCAAAATCTGGGATATAACTTCACGAAAATGTGTCTGGTCATCCAATGATCATAAAGAATCTGTAATTATTTTTTTTGTCAAGATATATAACTATTTTCAAATCATAATAACCAAATCCAATTAATAGGTGTGGGAAATCTCTTGGAATCCAACGAGTGACATTTTCGTGACTGGATCTGGCGATAAATCTTTAAGATGGTGGTCAAGAACAGGCGAAAAGTGAGATCCAATAATAGAGATTTTGATAAGAATGAATGCTTCAATTATTAAAATAAAATTTGTTGCTTGTGAAAGATAGAATATGTGATAACGTTTCTATTCATTAACGATGATTTAAATCCTTAAATAAATCTTTGTCTTTCATACACGTGGGAATTTTGAAACGAAGATTACTCATTGGCGAAAGACTGTGTTAACCCAAACTCAATTTAGTAAAGACATGCTCACGCAGCATACTCGAAGATTCACGTGTCACAAACAACATCTACCACCCATAATAATAATAATAATAAAAATACCCAGAAATATAACAGAAAACCAGTTAGTCCAGCAGTAAAGACGGACGGGTCTCGCTCTTGCTAATGTTTTAAATTTTGCCTGAGGATCTCGTAATAATAATAATAATAGTAGTAATGACTTCAGTTAAAGAAACCGCAACGACGACAATTGAATCAACTGATTCACAATTAAATCAAAATGACACTACTACTTCAGCTAATATAATCGTTACTTCATCTGGAAACGAACAACTGCCACCAAAGGAAAATAATCACACTCCTGAAAAACATAAAGAGAGTACCAACAACAGCAAAGACCAAGTTAAACAAGCTGGGCCACCAGATTACGCTTCGAACCCGAATAGCAGCAGCGCGTCTCCGTTACCTTTGTCTCCGATCCCAAACTTTTATTTTCCAAATGGTGGTACTCCTGCTTACGTGGAACAAACGGCTGCAGAGGCATATCAGGCTGCTATAGCAGCCGGATACGATCCAAGTGACCCGAATTACACTGCTTACGGTCAATATGGGATGCATCCTCAGTATTCACAATATTATCCCCAGGATTATGGTGCCGGTTATCCGGGTACCCCCCCACTTAATGCACAGGCTTCTTCGCCTTCTCTACCTCCTCAACCTTTGAGTCCTTATTTTACTGCGACCAGTCCAACAATAGCCTATTATCCTACTTCGCCACAAGTAGGCCCCACTGGAATAATTCATTCTCCTCCTATGCTGCCTTACCTATATTCTCCACAATCTCCTTATAGTATGCATGCTCTGCACACACTCTCACCCACATTATCACACACTTCTTCTTCAGCCCCGAATTCTCCTCCGCCTACATATTTACCTGGCCCAGGTGTGCCTTCTCCAAAAGTGGGCCCTCTTAATAGTAGTGGTCGTGGTTTAAGTGGCAGTCGTTCTCCGCAACATTATACTTATGGGCGAAGAAATTCAGGCTCGCAACAAAATCCTAATATGCCTAATTATCATAATCCAACAAAAACGACAAATATCTATATTCGTGGGTTGCCACCTACAACAACAGACGAAACTTTACATAAAATGTGTTCGATGTAAGTATGCATAAGGGGATAAAAGCACTAAAAACCTAACGCTTAGTAACAAAGAAAGGACCAGATTAAAAATTTAAATTGCTGATTTCCAAATGAATGCAGGTTGGCAGGCGATCTTTTGATGGTTCTTGATCGAGTATACCAAAAAATATAATATATATATATATATAGTGCATAACATCTGCTTTTATAATTAATTCACATTGTTTCCTGTTAACCTTATAATATGTATACGTTTATCAATACTTGTTAACTTTTAAATATTAATTTATGTCTATAAATAATTTTATTAGCTACGGAACTATCACTTCATCAAAAGCCATCATAGACCAAAAGCAAGGCGATTGTAAAGGATATGGTTTCGTAATGTATGAAAGCGAGGACCAAGCCAAACATGCTATTGAACAATTAACACGTTTGGGTTTTCAAGTGTCCTTCGCCAAGGTCGGTTATGTGAGTGTAACACGCATGTTTGTGAAATATTACTCATCTGGTTATTTATTATTCGTAATTGAACATTGGTACTTATAATTTTTTTTAATTTGATAATATGGAATAAATTATTATAGGAGTCGTTTAGTACACGATTGAAAAATCTGCAGGATATGGCTTCAACGAATATATATTTATCTAACTTACCGTTGGAAATGAATGAACAAGTTAATTATTTTTTATATTTTAATATATATAAAATAATAAAATTATTTTATTAAAAAATAAAAATTATGCATTCGTAGCAATTGGAGGAGTTGTTCAATCCCTATAAAGTGGTATCTAATCGAATCCTTAGAGATGCAAATGGCACTAGTCGAGGCGTAGGATTTGCCAGGTATTTATCGAATTTATTGTTTCCTATTCTATCAATATTTTTCGTTTATTTTTTGCTTTTGCTTTTAAAATAATTATTGTGAAATTTCCGTTAAATGACACGGATATTCCATATGCTTATTATGTGAAATATCGTACATAAACAATGGTTACTTTAGAGCACCAGATATTCATCTTGTACTATAAAAACATTTTATTTAGAATGGAAGATCGTGATTCGGCCCTTGCAATTATTCAGAAATTTAACGGATATCAATTACCTGGAGCTAGCTTGCCTTTACAAGTGCGGTTTGCAGATTCGCTAGCACAAAAAAAACTGAAAGGACAGACTGCAAGAAAGCGTATGTTGTGGCATGTTGGAGAATTTGATACTTTGTGTGGTGGTGTGAGTTTACGATTTATTTGATAACTTTTTTTATTAACTGTTATTCTTTCTATTCGAAATAAGCATTCAAAGCTATTAATGAGCTAGTAAGTAAATTGAAGAGTGCACGATTATTTTACATGTTATAATCAACATTAACATTTATGTATTGGATTTATAGGCCAATTACCCTCAAGTCCCAGTCACTCCTGAGCATATGTTGGGTATGGCTGCTCCTGGGTCACCTCCTGGTGCTGCATATTTACCTTATTATCCGGAAGGAGTGCAACCCTCAGGGTAAGAAATTCATTTATCAAAAAATTTAATTAAGAACAATCTTTAATAATAATAATAATATTAACGATCTTGTATGTTTTATAAGTGCCTTTCAACAAGGTTCTCTGTCACCAACTTTTGGTCCTCAATACGCTAGATACTATCAACCCATGTATGCAGGTCCTGCAACTGCAGTACAACCAAGTGTATCTGGGCATCCTCCAGTAAATGCCGTCACACCAGCTGGTCAACCTGCAGCCGAAGTAGTAAATAACGATTCATCATCCTCAGGTAATAAAGACCCAACAGACGATCTGAGTGAGCTCGTTCAAAAACAATTGAATGTTGAAAGTGGGGATAACGATAATGTCCTCGAAAATAATTAATGCAATTTTGCAACTTTATTTTTATAAAGTAAGATGATTGTTTTTTTGGCAACATATTTTATAAGTTTTAACTTGACTATTAATAATGAATATATACCAAAATTTTAGCATCTCTTTCTATTTTAGATGATACATCAAAAGCATGCACGATTTTATTTTTACTGGACATTTGCTGCTGTGCTTTATTTTTATTAAATTTCTTTTTTTATTTTTTTTTTTGCGAATTTACATTGAATCATCCGAACGTTTTTTGCTGTTAATAATAATGTTAATAATAGATCTCACATATAACGAATTTGTACTTTCAATATTTTCGTCTTGTTAATTCTACTATTTTTCCCCTCTGCCTCGCTCGCTTTTTTTTCATACCTCTTCACCAATAACATTTCACATATTGACACCATGTTGATTTCAATCATCTCGCGATATGCTCGCATTTGTGTCTTCTTGATTACGGCCTTACTTTTCTGTTCTCTCTTTATTACTATTACACGATCACTATGATTGTTGTTTTGGAATTTGGCCAATAATAAATATTGAATTTTGACAACTTCTTTTCTTGAATGATTGCTTTTTTGTTTGAACAATACAATGAAGAGAAAAAGTCAAGAACATAAGCTGGTTTCTTGGGAGTTTTTTCTGTATTATGTAAGTGACACCTTTCCATTATGTTATGTCTATATATAATTTGTGTTTTCCTATTAATTTTCGCTGTTGAAAAAAATATTCACTCTAGGGCATGACTTTAATTGGTTGGGCAATAGGGTGAATAATATTTTTTTGATGTCTCTTGTATGAATTAAATTGTAATACATGATTAAAAGCGCATGTAAATTTATGAGAACATAAAAATTGATGATAGTTTTGTTTGTTTTTTAATAGTTAACGTTAGCTATTGATAGGTCTTTTTTTTGATATAAAAATATTGTAGATAAAACAAATGTCATCATTATAAATTTTCTAAAATAAATTATGTATTCAATAAAAAACTAGAATATAAATCAAAAATTTTTTATCTTTACTATTATTATTGATAATTATTTTATACACAATTTTTACGATAAAAAAAACAAAATTCGAAGCGATCTAATTCATTTAGTCTAGAAGCGTGTTTTGGTTTCGGCTATAATCGTTCTCATTTCACAATCGAATGATAAGTCATATATTGAAGCGGGATGGGAATAGAAAGTCTAAATTCTACTATTTAAAGGTCCTCTACCAAATGAGCTGTTTCTACTACCATATGATCCTCCTCCAAATGAGCCTCCTCTACCTCCACCAAACGAACCTCCTCTGTCATATGATGACCTTTCACCGTATGAGGACCTTTCACCATATGAGCTTCCTCTGCCAAATGAAGATCCTCTTCCAAAACCACCACCACCATCATTGCGGCCAAATCCACTTTCTCTCATAGGTCTTCTTGGTGGTCTATCCTCGGAAAAACCACCAAATGAAAACCCTCCACGTGGACTGGATAGTCGATCCCGACTATCACCACCAAAACCACCGAGCGATCTAGATGCGAAGGCACCACCACCTCTTAATAATGGTCTTCCTAATCCTAAACTTTGCATCATTTTAGCAGACAGGCGTGGCATCTCGTTAACACCAAATGCGCCACAAAATTCCATTCCTAATTCAAGTAAAGCCTCTTTACGAATATTCAAAAGATCGGCTCTTGCCATATCTAGTGAGAAAAAGTTAATTATAGCTAAATAATTATAAATAATGCAGAAAAAGAAAAATTTACTTACAATAACCTAGAAATGCTTTGAATGCATCATTTACCATTTCAATATCAATAGTTTCAATAGCGCGTTGAATATGATTATCTTGTTTTATCTCAGGAATTTGCAATGGCTGAATTGGCAAATCATTAATGGCATTTGTAAATTTTTTTTCGAATGGAGCCAATACTAATATACCTTCTCCTTCTCTACCAGCACGTCCAGTCCTACCCAATCTATGTATGTACTGTTCGCGCGAAGAAGCCGCGCCTACCTGTAGTACTAATGTTACTCCAGGATAATCTACTCCACGCGCAGATACATCCGAAGTAACAAGCATTGCATTACGTCTTGATCTTCGAAATTTATCGGAAATTCTTGTCCGTTGCTGTTGACTAAGGCCAGACTGAAGTTCAAAAACCTCAAGGTCTCCAATTATTCTAAAAAATTCTGCATAAAGTTCAGTTCCTTTTCGTGTGGGTAGAAACATAATTATCTTTGCATCCGGATGTGATCTCTGGTGATCAAGAATGATATTTCGAACTGTTTTCAGATGTATATCCCATGGTGCTATTGCGTACGACTGTTTTACTTGAAGATTTGTGTTCACATCGTTCGGGTCAACAGTGTCAATAAACGTGTAATCCTTTCTTAAAGCGAAACTCGCCACTTTTCGTATATCAGGTGATATCGTCGCGGAAAATAGAAAAGTTTGCCGCTCATTTGGAAAATATCGTATGAGTTTTTCGATATCTTGCCGAAAGCCCATTTCAAGCAATTGATCTGCTTCGTCAAGAATTAACTGTATAGATAGATAAAGATATATGCGCGAGTGAGAGTGTTTGCATGCATATAAAATGCTTAAAATTAGAAAATCGATAACAAGAATTATCGTACCGTTTTCATGCCAGAGCATTGATTTCGAAAGTCAGGAATACTTTGTAATAAATCCATTAATCTACCTGGTGTACCAACAACTATGTCAACACGTCTTTGCATTAAGCCATAAATTTGCTTTCCCTTTGGCTCACCGCCTACCAAAGTATGCACTTCAAATGGATGAAATTTACACAACCGTTTTGCTTCTTGTGCAATTTGTTGTGCCAATTCACGCGTCGGAGATATTACAAGTATCGATACGTGACGCGTTCGATCACTCGGAGCATGATGTTGTAGTGCTGTCTCGAATGCAGGGATTAAAAATGCAAGAGTTTTACCGGTACCCGTTTTAGCTTTTACAAATAAATCTGTTCTGATGGGTGATTGTGATAAAACAGCATCTTGAACTTTTGACATTGTCTCATATCCAAATTCTTGTTTGAGAGCTTTTTGAGTTAAGGGAGAGATTGCTGTGATAGAATCGAATCGGGCTGGAACATATTCGCTGGAATCAACAATTTCGTAGCCTGTGTATCCTTTATCATCTTGATTCGGATCCTCATCATTTGTCGGTTTTGCTTGAACTATAGCGCTTGTGTAGAAATAATTTACTCGAGCCAAATTATTTAAAGGTATAAATAATGCGGGGGAATTGTGTACAAAGTTGAAGTTATGCGAACCAGAAAATTCAGAAACTAAGTATGGATAAAAGAAAAATTTACAATAATAAAGCTGGTTAGATCGTGAGCTGAAATGTATTTATTTATTCGCGAAGAGCTCAGGAATGAGAGATTGAAATACAAACATAGTAAAGGCAATTGTGACTTTAATTGAAATATTGGTTTATTTTTTACAACTGTTCCAAAAACTATATTTGTCAAGGCAATTTGTTTAGTTGAAGGCGTCCAGCTTCGTATGTTTCTTATCAGATTAGGTGCGAACATCTTTATATTTTCGATTACTAGATTCAAATTCTTTAGAAAAAAATTTTTATTGATATACGCGTCATAACTTTTTATTAAAATGCATGTGATCTTACTGCTTAAACTTATCAAAAAACTTATATTAATGAGTCATTCGGGGTCATTGGAAATTTTTTTTATCTGGGAGGGAATATAGTTTTCATAATGACTCATCAACTATTCGACAAAGTTTTTTCATGATAGATATTGAACTATTACGATACCCACCCCCAAATAAAGAATAATGATTTAGGTAATGATAAAGTTTATAAAGTTCTGTATTTTGAGGTATTGGTGATAGTTAGAAAAGTCACGATTGAGATCAATTAACCGAAAGATTTTACCTTGACGTTCCTTAAAAAAAGGCTCCTGACGTGGATGATGGGTATGATATTCTTCGAAAAAATCTATTATTTTGAAAAAAACAATTTTTTAATGTAGGGATGATCGAGTGTTACGACGACGACGATGATGATGATGATGATGATGGTGATAATGTGAATACCATAAGAGGGACTTCCAAACATTGTCAAAATACTCAATTCCATTTCACTGTGACCAAAACAAGCAGCTGGATCATAGATCACAGGTTCATTTGTCGTCGAATCGATCGCCCAATTGCCACTCCATAAATCTCCGTGAATTAAAGCAGGTTTTATCTCAATGTCTTTTAGCAAATGATGTACAACTTTATCCACAATAATTTTGCCTAATCTTTGCAATTCTGCATCTCTTGGATGTTTCGCTAACATAGGGCGTAATCTTCGTTCCTTATAGAATGTTTCCCAATCCGCTTCCCAATTATTATCTTGCGTAGTAGTACCGCACATTGTCACTACTGGAAAACCAAACATTCCATTTTCTGATGTAGCTGAATGTAATTGTGCCAATTTTCTTGCCAAGAGGATCTGTTGGTTTCTTGTACTTTCTGAACTAAGAGATAAAAACGTGGTCACTAGAAATGCGCCACCATTTGGTAATGAACCTTTGCATAATGGTTTTGGTGCAAAGTTTGGCACAGCTTCTGATATCATTTTCAATGCTTCAAATTCCCCTTCAAACATAGTCAAGGAATTTGAACCAACATTCGTCTATTCCATTTCATATTTTCTTTAATTATAGTTGATACATGAACGGAGAGCTTGTGTATAATATACCTTAACAAAGACGGCTCCCTTATCAGTATCAACTTTGTACGCGTTATTTACACAACCTCCAGAAACTGAGGACCAGCTAAGTACTTTTTCACATATATTAGAGGTTTGAAGAACCTCAACAATTACTTTTTGGTCCATAACGAAAAATTGGTGGTAAAATTAGGTAGCAATTATACTACTTAAATTATCACGAAAATGTTGATCAGAAGTTGACACAACAACCAATAAGAATGCATAAATTTTGAATCAGACGAAAGTAGAAATCTGATCAACCCGACAAAAAAAATTCCGGCGCAAGAAAATAAAATACGTAGCTTGGAGCAACTATTAAAAAGTGTCGGAAAGACAAATTTTACATATAATCTCTTCATAACAAAACGCCATTTTTGAAACAAAAAGCTTGTACCCCATGTTCCTTACTTGCCATAAACTTGATCCTAACTAAACCACTAATATTTAATATCTTGCGATTTGATTGGTCAATCGCCTAGATTCAATAAATACTTCGGTTTTGACGCATGACATTTACTGTGACTCATGAAATTTTTTTCTTTGGCTTGATCATCTTTATTTTTTACTTTCGGAGACACTAAAATAATGTTAAACTTGTTTCGAACCACAAAACTAAAATTTCATTGCGCCAAAGGGCCCTTTTTTGGTCCCAAGAGCATTCATTCAAACTCTTTAACCGCAAATCTCGAATTATCATCAAGAAATAGAACTGCAATTAAAACTCGGTCAAACTTCATTAATAGCGAAAACAACAAATTTTCACAAATAAATTCCTCTCACATTTTTGGTTATTATGGTTTTTCGTCACGTCTTAATTATTCTACCGTGGCAGATACACCAATGTTGGAACAACAATCTTTTGATTATCTTATTCTATCACAACCGTCATACGGAAAAGATGGAAAATTTCTTCATGGGCAGTTCACTGAACGTCTTGTTTTGCTATATGCGTGTCTTCAATCACGTCATTTGGAAAGAGCTTTGCGTATTTTTAAATCTTTATACAACAACAGTACAGAAGACCAGAAAAACAATATTTTGAATATTAATGTGCATAATGCAATACTTTTGGCCTTAACAAGCGAACCATTCAACGAAAAACATGTTGGCGATGCAATGGGATGGTATGATAATTTAATAAAAAAATATAAAGTTAAACCTAATTTAGTGACATTTGCAATAATGATAAAGGGAGTTTTAAGGTATTTTCATCCTTATAAATAACATTTGTTTATTTGTCATGTGATAAATCTAATCTTATCTGTTGTGTAAAGAGATCCAGCGAGGAAGGAATCTTACGTAAAAGTGTATGTCGAGGAAATGCAGTATTATGACTATACCATTGAAGATTTGTTGAAGTCTTTCCATCTCAATAACAAAGAACTAAAAATGCTGGTCGAGGTAAATCAAATGAAGGAAATATATCTAATTATTCTAGTACATGATCTTCATTGTATTTTACTGCATAATATAGGTCATAGATTTTAATGATTATGGAATCAAATTGGAATCTTTACCAGTTGAACTTATACAAGACATCAAAAACGAAATTGATCTATCTAAGCCTGATGAATCGGAAGAATCTCTCCCCGATCCAATTCTTATGGACGACGTACGAGTTGAAAATTTTTTAAAAAAAATTCCACCGTGTTTTTGCTTATAAATTCAATTCTTTGTCAAAGAGGATAACTTACTTCTATAGGACAAAACAAATAGGCTATTGGAGTAAAACTCTTGAAAAATTCTCTAGAAGCACTGAAAGATAAGACTGATCCAATGAAGCGACAGATGAAACTTGAAGCAAACGCGTATCAAGCAGCGATTGAACGATGGAAATATGATATAGAGAGATTCAAAGATAGGGCCACGGCTCAACGCGTATCTTCACTTAGAAATTTTATGTGGGAGTGGCACTCTGAGTTAGTGCCATTAATCCATGAAGAACAAAAAAGGATCGATAAACTTGTTGAACCCTCCAAAAAAGGTTTTATTTTTATTCATTTCAAGTATGTTTAAAGACTTATACTTGCCATTTTAATGACTAATATTTTCAACTACTCTTTTAGTTATTTCACCCGAAAAGAAAAATATGCAAACCGTCAGAAGATTCGTGGTCGAAAAAGGTTTGAAATTACTTTATGTTACTCTAATTGACTTTCAACGTAGCTAAAAATGATATTACCATTTTGTAGAAGAGGAAAACATCGCTAACGATCGTTTAGATTATGGACCATATTTCAAGTTACTTAGCCCTGAAAAGCTTTCTGCTATTACTATTATTGAAATTTTGCGACTTCAAGGCTCTAGTGGGATTCGTGATGGAATGAAATCCACATCCGCTTTGATAGCAATTGGTAATGCAGTCGAAGCTGAATACAATTCGGAAAAGATGAAGCAAAAAGAGAATCGAAATTTGGTGAGCATCTTGTTTAATTGTATCAGCAATAAATTTCAATAATCTGCATATTTAACTATAACTATTTTTATTTTGTTGAAAATAGATAGGTCATAATGTAAAACTTCAAGAATTATTCTCGAATGGCAAGCTTTTCCAAATGGCTGTTAGACGAGCACAAACGAAAATAGAACAAGAAGCGATCAACTCAGAATGGAAACCAATGTGGACACCTTCTATAAAAGCAAAAGTACTCTATATCGTTTTATGTTATTGTAGATTTAACAATAATATATTTATTGACAATGATTAACTCTTACTTAGATTGGCGCGGTATTGACATCTCTGCTAATTAATTGCGCGAAGATCACCGTTCATGAGACGGATTCACACGGTGAAAAAATGTAAACTTTCGAAGAATGTTTTATTTTTATGATATAAAATATTAATAATAATAAATATTTTTATAGTGGGGAACGTGTTTCTGCCTTTACCCATAATTATCAGTATATTAATGGCAAACAAGTTGGTGTAATTCGACTTCGTGATATCTTAGTGGAAATGTTGTCCACCGAAAATATAAATGACACTATTCACCCTCGAATGTTACCAATGTTAGTTATTCCCAAGCCATGGCTGACGTATAATAGTGGTGGCTATTATACATCTCTAAGTAATATTATAATTTAAATCATAAGTTTAGTTCTGAACTATTTATGCAAAGATCAATTAAATTCTCCCTTATAAATTCTTTTAGGTCATGCAATGAGAATCAAAAAGTTTAATGAACAATTTCGATATCTGAAAGAGGCATCGGATAAGGAACATCTTACTATGGTATTTGCCGGTTTAGATGTTCTGGGATCCACGAAATGGGCTATTAATAAAAATGTTTATAAAGTGGTTCTCGAAGTGTGGAATAGTGGAAAAGAACTGGGCGGAATTCCTCCAATTGAACTTAAAATTTCAGAACCAAAAATGAAGGATTTTACAACTAAAAAAGAAAGAGAGGAAGCTGAACGTGAATATAGGAAAGAACTAAAAGAATATCATATTAAAAAACAAAATAACCGTTCTGAGCGATGTTCGGTAAACTATAAAGTACAAATTGCTGGCGCGGTGAGATAGATAATTCATGCACTTATGATATTAGGTCTGTTTTAAGATTTTAACAGTCCTTTGACTGATAAATTATTTAATTTATAACTTATATTAGTTTCTCAACGAAGCATTATATTTTCCTCATAACTTGGATTTTCGAGGACGCGCATATGCAATACCACCTCACTTTAACCATTTAGGAGATGATCTTTGTCGTGGTCTCTTACTTTTTCACGAGGGAAAACCTTTAGGGAAAGAGGGTTATAAATGGCTCAAAATTCATCTCGCCAATTTATGCGGGGTAGATAAGGTGTCTTTTGAAGATAGAGTAAAATATACAGAAGAAAATATGATTAATATTTTAGATTCAGCAAATAATCCACTCAATGGTGAAAAATGGTGGCTTAAAGCTGAAGACCCATGGCAATGCCTCGCTACGTGTTTTGAAATCGCAGAGGCTCACAAATCTGGAAATCCAGAAGAATTTGTATCACGAATTCCCGTCCATCAAGATGGTACATGTAATGGATTGCAGCATTATGCGGCTCTTGGAGGTGATCCAGAAGGTGCAAGACATGTCAATTTACTAAATTCCGATACGGGGAAACCTGCTGATATTTATACTGGAGTAGCCGAACGAGTAACTCGGCTGATCAAAGAAGATGCAAAGAACGGAAATCCTCTGGCAATAATAGCGCAAGACATTATCAATCGTAAGCTTGTAAAACAAACAGTAATGACCAACGTTTATGGTGTGACCTTTGTAGGTGCACGTAATCAAATTCAAAATCGTTTGAAAGAACGTGACGATATTAGACCAGAGCAACTTAAAGAACTCTCTTCGTATATAACAATTCAAGTTTTTTCAAGTTTGCGTGAATTATTTACGCGTGCTCGAGAAATTCAAGATTGGTTGACGGAAAGCGCTAGGAGAATCTCAAAGAGTATGCCAAAAGATATAATTAAAAAATCAAATACTAAAAAACAAGAGACGAAGATTTCAGAAGAAGAAGGCAGATATAATCAAGTTACCTCTGTCATATGGACTACGCCTCTTCAATTAACAATTGTTCAGCCATACCGAAAACTGGGCAAACGGTCGGTCAAAACTAATCTTCAATCAATTACTATCGAAAATCCATTTAGGCAAAGCCCCGTGAACAGTCTTAAGCAGGCCGCTGCGTTTCCTCCAAATTTTATTCATTCACTGGACGCAACACACATGCTTATGTCCGCTCTGACATGTAAATCAAAAGGTCTCACTTTTGCATCCGTGCATGACAGTTATTGGACCCATGCATGTGACATACCAATGATGAGCGACATTCTACGGGAAGAATTTGTTAAATTGCATGAACAACCTATAATGACAAAATTGCGAGAAGAATTTAATAAAAGATATAGTGATCGCATCACTAAAACATCGATGGATGTTGTCGCATACAGAAAAATCAAACAGAAACATAAAGGAAATGTTTTCCTTGAAGAAATAATAGAATCTGATGTCAATCAAAACAAAAACATTGAAGCTACCAACAACACCAACGATGATGATGATGATAATAATAATAATAATAATAATAATAATAACAACAACAACAATATTAATAATAACAATAACAATACATCAATGTCGCTGTTAGATTTCACTCAAGAGCTCGAATCGTTATTAAATAAGAAAGGCAAGAAAGGAAAGAAAGAAGTCGATCAAGATTTAGTAGAAGCAGATTCAATTGATAGCAGTTTCAAATCCGGAGATGAAGATTTCGATGATGAAGAAGATGTCTTAGATTATGAAGAAATTGGTTTAGATAATAATAAAGACGATGGCTTGTTCGATGTTGAAGTAGACTATTTGAACGAGAACAGAGAAGACAATTCTAAAAAGCTAGAAACGAAAAAAATAGATAATGATAATGTTGACGAGGCCAAGAACAATTTAGATAAAAGATCTTCTACACCAATATCATTATCTTCTGAGGTAATCACAATAGATGAAGGGAAAACAAGGAGAAGGAATTATCAAGTATGGCAACTATTGAAATTTCCCCCATTACCTCCAAAAGGAGAATTTTCAGTTAGCGAGGTATTAAAAAGCAGATATTTTTTCCATTAAGCATAAAATGTTATATTAGAAATTAGAGTGTATTTGTGAGTTGGGATTTAATTTATCTGTTTTATCGTTTAATAAATAATTGTTGATCCCGATGTCTCGATTTTTGTTATCGTTATCATTTGTGTGTAACATACCTTTTATTCTAACATTCGTACAAAATTAATTGCTTTCCAAGTTTCACGGACTTTTAAAGATGTACCATATAAACGATAAGTCATATCGTACACAATACTTGAACCAATTGCACCAGGATGTTTTTTTGATAGGAACTTCTCGAAACGTTTCAACTATAGAATTATCCTTGACACATTCAAATTTTAATTCTTCCCCGTTTCAACCAGTAAAACCTTTGTCTCCCTTTAATCTTTATACACCGTCAACAATGTTCATACACGACGTTGAGGCAAATTCAACACCTGAGGAATTATTAGAAGAGCTCTCTGTCTCTGACTCATTAAAACCTGTAATCCAAATATCTCGCTCTTCTGAGGATGCTAACAGTAGTGCTGAACTTAATAGTTTCGAGGAAGTATCTTTAGAAGATGCAAACGGAAGACCAAAGATTCCAATTTCAGATGTAGAAAATAAAGAGAAGAAAAAGCCCAAACTTTTTTCCATAGTCATAAGTAAAGCATCACCGCCCTCTTCCACTACCTCTTCACCTCATTCTCCGCCAACTCCTCCAAAAATAAACATGGCTTTAGATCTTGCAAATGACTCGGAGGTTCAACTTGGTGATAATACACTGCGTAGACAGTCCTCTGGACCTTTTTACAGTGTTCCAATGACCCCACTAATATCTTTAAAAAACCTAGCTGACACTTCAAAAAGACTTTCAGCGGATGATAAATTTACGTCACGAAGGGTTACAACATTTCCTGCTGGATCTAAGTCCAAATCTCTTTCAAATGTAACCACTTCTGAATCCGAATTTGATGATAAAAAATTAAAAAGGACCCATAGTCAGAGTAGGTTAGTGAGTGAATATTTGAATATTGAAAAAATCGATCGGCTATAAGAACGCTATAACTTAATGGAAATTGTCTTTAGATTCTTTAAATGGGGTTCATCAAATTTACATCCTTTAGATGTGTATATATCTAAAACGCGACAAAGGTAGATAATTAATTTAGATGATGTTCTATTTTTTTCATGAAACTAATTCTAATCTTTTTTATTATAGAGATCTTCCACCTAAATCGCTAAAAGAAGAGGTGAATATAAAAGAGTTTGATTATAGGATAGCAGTTTAGTAATATTATGTCCCTTTCGATAAATAGAAACGTCATATGCAAGAACATGAAGCTATGATGCGTAAAGCCAAGCAAGCAGGTGAGATTATCAGATTTTTTAACATGGATTGCACAAACTTCTTTTTACAAAATAACGTTCAAATGTAAATTGATTTAGAAATAAAAAAGCTCCAACGAGAACAAAAGAGGAAACAACAGCGAGATAAGCAATATCAATCAGCTCTTACCGCGTGGGAGAATGACATAATACCCAATTGGCAGGTTGCGTAAGTAAATCGATTAGAATTTTGTATTCTTTTAGTGCATAAATTAGTATATTGATTTAGAAATTGATTTAGACGACACGAGAAGACTACACGAGATTTATGGTGGAAAGGGATTCCTCCAAGATGTCGAAGCAAGGTGTTTGTCTTTTAATTGAAAGAAAATTGATTTTCTGATTTTCAATATTTTCAATTTATTTTCTTTTTCTGAAATTTTCCATATATTTTTTCTTATTTAAGGTTTGGTCAATGTGTATAGGAAATAAATTATCTGTAAGTAAAGGTAAGAAATATCTGAAATCCTAAATTTTTAAGTTTTATAAATTTACCCTTAATATTTTGTTAAACATTTATTTTGAACATTTTAAAGCTACATATGATATATGCTTAGACAGGTAATTTTATATTTAATTTTTTTTTGAAGTTTAATTTATTGTTAGCATTTAACAGATTTTTACCAATAGAGCATTTAAAGCAAAAAGTGAATCAGGTGATGGTCTTGAGTCACCTACACGTAGAGAAACATCGCATAAGATGGTCAATCTATTTGAATTAATTGAAAATGAAATTTCCAGAACTCTTCCAGCTCTTGGATTATTCCAGGTTTGTGTTATTAATGTTTTTGCTATTTATTATTATATGCCGATTTTTATTTTTATATTAAATCATTGCAGACAGAAGGGCCGCTTTGTAATAGTTTACGCAGTGTGCTAGAGGCTTACACTTTTTATCGCACAGATACGGGCTATGTTAGTATCGTTACTTGGTGGTTATTGTTCCTTTTGTTTAATGGATTAATTTTGAACATTAATTATCATTCTAGGTGAAGGGCTTAAATAATATAGCAGCAATGTTATTATTAAATATGGACGTTATCACCACTTTTGCATGCATGGTCAATTTGTCTCATAAACCCTGCCTTTCTGCATTTTTTGAAAAGGATGAATTAAAAGTAAGTAATTTTTTTCTTAATAATAACATCTATTTGTCGAAATAATTGTTGCTTATGCATAATTGTTTAGATTCAAGGTTACCTTCGAATATTTTCTATTTTATTTAAAGCTAATATTTCAAAGGTAAGTAAATACAATTAATTTATAAAATATGTGCTTAAAATATATATTAATTGATACCTTTCTTTAGTTGTATGAACACTTTAAATCGCTTGGAATTTATCCTTCAGTATTTATTCCAAATTGGTTTATAACAATGTTTACGTGTTATTTACCGCTTGATATCGCCAGTCGATTTTGGGATTGTTACTTTTTACATGGTGACATTTTTCTATTTCGGGCAGCATTGGGTGTATTATTTTCTTTGGAGGGAAAACTTTATGGTTCCAAAGATGAAATAATGAGGATTTTACTTGCTGAGCCATTCAATTGTATTGGCATTGACAAAATTTTTGATCATATTGAACAGGTTAAACTCTACGAGGAATTCTTTCGGCAGTTAGTAGTAAAGGAGGTGCCAGCTTAATGCACCAGTCCAGTTAATTTTACTAGATCCGAGTTCAATTGACTAGTTCCAGTCCAACCCCAATTATTCCAATCGAGACCGCATAACTCTGTTTAGTCAAATTAATTGAACTTTTTGGACTGGTTCAATTGAATCTAAATTCCATCAGCTCCAAAAATCAATTGCACAACATTACTTAGTGTAATTTGTTATTTATTTTGGTGCCTTTTTCGTTAATCAGTCGGCTTCCTCAAAAAGATGAACCAATTTAGAGATGTTGATTAAAATGTTTAATTTTGAATCTGGCATAATCAATTTTTTCATTTTATATACTTTTTTGTTTTAGCGCATTAATTTTGTACATTTATAATATGTAATAATTTTAATTTATTATCGTCGTCGACAATTTCCAATATCAAGATATAATTTTGCCCGAAATTAAGAGACTTCTAGAGATTCGGATTAAGAACAATGTAAATAATTAATTCTTTCCCATCAAAATTCCATCCGCACGTGATATTGTTGCTAACATGACAAACACATCATTATAATGCTTAGAACTAGGAAATAGGCCTATATGTAAAATTGTCTCACCGTTATAGATATATTTTGATATCTGCTTTTCTAGTTTTTTGCATTTTTGTTTTATCGTTGATCAAAAATTTACGCACTCTTATTGATCTGTCAAGTATGTGATCAGGAACCGAAATGAAAAATTACATATGATTAGCGCATTCTTATTGGTTTATTCGCATGACATCAAAAAAAGGGATAAACCAATCAAATCGCAAGATCAATGTGTAACAAACATTTATTTTTGAAAAATAGCTTGTATATTAAAATTTATTCTTTTTATATTCTAACAAAAAAAATTTCTTGCAAAATTTTATTTTATAATTGTAAATATAATCTTAATTATGATTCTAATCCTAATCTTAATTATATAATGATTTGCATAAATAATATATTAATCTTAATTATATAGTAATTTGCATAAATAATGCATCATTCAAATTACTAATCATGTGAAAACTTATAAATAAATAATTAATATTGAATATGAATTCTAATATATAAACAAAAAATCAATAAATATTAATTATATCAATTATTTATAAGTTATTTTTTTTCTTCTAAATATTGATACATTTTTTTACTCTTTTGAAAAGAGCAAAATAAATATTAATAAAACTCTTTTTTTATATAATTATCTAAAAACTAATATAATAAAATAATTTCTTTCATATTTATTTTAATATATAATTAAATCTTTTTATAATTATATTTCTTTATAGTCATCTTTTTTTATAATTATCTTTTTTGAATTTTCTAATTATTAATTAATTATAATTAAAAAAATCTCTCTATAATCATATCTTTTTATAATTATCTAATTTTATTTTCTCAAGTATAATTATTATAAAGAACTTTAATTTTATATATTATAAAATTCATCATATAATTATCATAAAACTTAAAAATATAAAAAAATAAATAATATCAAAAATAAATCTAAATTAAATTATCTATAAAAACTTAATATATATAATAAATAAATTCTTATTTAGTAAATTATAATATATAAATATTCAAATATAATTTAATTATAAAAATTATTATTAATTAATAAAAAAATTTAATATGAAAATTAATATTATATATAAAATATTAAATAGATAAGATATGAAAAATCTTAACTTAATAATTATATAACTTTATTTCAAATTTTCTAATTTTTTATCTCAAATTATATATTATATAATTAATTAATAAAATTATATTATCTTAGTTATATATTATATTAATATACTATAATACTAATAATATTAATAAGACATACTAAATATTTTTAAGTATAATATCATTGATAAAGTAAAGATATTATATATAATCAAGTTAAAGATTATTAATATAATATATTATATATTTATTTTCTTTTTTTTTACTCTTACTTATCAAAAAAAAAATTTTATTTTTTTATCATCTTAATTATTTTTTATCACTCTTTTAATATTTTTAGATATATAATAATGAAATTTAAACTTATTTATAATCTACTTGACAGCTTTATTCTCTAAATTCTTATTATATATATTTATATATCTTCATAACTTACAAGCAAATTTGTAAATTATTATCATAAAGATATTAACAAGAGTTTCTGAAACTTTTCTTAATAAATTTACATAATTATAGCTGTATAACTATCTGATCTTTCATTTTATAAAATTTTAATATTGCTTGATAAAATTATATTTATAATAAAACTTTAAATATTATTTAAGAATATATTCTGCTTTAATTATTATCTTTTCTAGTAATAATCATTATTCAGAAAAATCTGATTAAAGAAATATAATTTATTATGCATAGTAATTTATCCTTTTTAAATTATCTTTATATTTTTTAAAATATTATTTATATATTAAATAAACTCTCTTAGCTAGTTAAAAATTGTATTCTTTAAGTACTTGTTTAATATTTTTTAATTATCTTCTTAATTTTACTACTAGAGAATTAATTGAAAATATTATTGATTATATATATATCTCTTCATATTTATTTTTGTATTATCTATTATATATTTTAAGTTAATTTTTATCAGAGTTCAAATTTATTCTTATTATGATAAATATATTTTCTATCATGATATTATAATTTATTAATTAATTAAAATAAAAAATACTAATATATTTAGGATATAATATTTTAAATATTAGAATTATCTTATTTACAAGCTAATCTAACATATTATAATCTTTTGTTACGTAAGATAATATATCCAGATAATTCACATAGAAAAATCAAGATATAGTATTATATCAAGAAAGTTTACACAGAAGATTCAAGATATAAGCAATATAATTTGAAATAGAATTCACACAGAAAACTAAATCAAAAGCAGATAAGAGATTATGTTTAAAACTTATTCTTTATT